GCGCGGGCGATCTGGTAACCTTCGCGATCACCGGCGCGCTCCAGCAGCTCTCGGTGCGGGCGATCTCGCAGTGCTCGGTCCCGTTGCTGCTCGAGGAGCTCCACGCCCACAGGGCGTTCAACTCGTGGTCCCTCGAGGTGGTTCTCGTGGAATGCACGCGCCAGGGCCACAAAGCCGGACTCGAAGCCGCCGTGCAATTGAGCCGCAGCACCAGCACGCAGATCACGGCCACGGGGTACGCGGCGCTCGTGCGGGGAGCCGCCGCCAGCGGAGAAGTGCTGACTTGGTTCCAGGAGGCCGGCGCGAAGGGCCTGGAAATCGACACCGCCACCCGCGTGGTGATTCTGAAGCGGCTGGGCAGCGATGGCCGGTTGGAGGAAATGCTCGGCGTCCTTGAGTCTTGCGCCACGAAGCCGGGTTGCCTGTACAACGCGGTGATCGACGCATTCGTGGGGGTCAAGGACATGAAGACCGCACAGCGTCTGGCGGCGGAGGCCCTTCAGGCTGGGGTCGCCGACGTCATTACCTCCAACACGATCATCAAGGCGCACCTCCACAACGGCAGCGTGTCGGAGGCCCGCACCGCCCTGGCCGAGATGCGGGCCATGGGCTTGGAGCCCAACGTTGTGACCTACAACGAGTTTCTGGACGCCGCCGTGGGGAGCACGGGAGGGCTCCCATGGGCCATCATCGACGAGATGCTCGAGTGCGGACTGAAGCCCAACGCGGTCACCTGCTCCATCCTGCTGAAGACTGTGACGAAGAGCTGCAGTGCTGCCGATGTCCAGCGCATTGCCGGCCTGCTGGAGTCCCTGGAGCAGAGCGAGATGGACGAGGTGCTGCTCAGCTCGGCCTGCGAGGCGGGCATCCGCTCCAACCAGGTGGAGTTCTTGAGGCGCCAGCTGCAGTCGCGCCGCTCCTCCCAGCGTGTGACCGTCAAGGGGGCGCCCGCCTTCGGCAGCATCATCCGCGCGTACGGGTTCATCGGGGACATTGAGGGCGTCTGGGAAACCTGGCGCGAGATGCGCGCCCGTCGCGTCCTGCCCACGAGCATCACCCTGGGCTGCATGGTCGAGGCAGTGGTGAGCAACGCGGGCCCCGAGGTTGGCTACAAGATGATCCAGGAGGCTGCCAGCGACGATGAGACCCGGCCGCTGCTGAACGCCATCATCTACTGCTCGGTGATGAAGGGGTTCTCGCATCAGAAGAACTTTGATCGCATGTGGGAGGTCTACCAGGAGGTGCTGGGCGGAGAGCACAAGTGCTCGATCGTGACGTACAACACCCTTGTGGACGCTTGCGCCCGCTGCAGCGAGATGGCCAGGGTACCCGAGCTGCTTCAGCACATGGACCGCCAGGGTATCAAGCCGAACGTTGCCACCTACGGTGCCATCATCAAGGGCTACGTACAGGAGAACAAGGTGGATCAGGCGATGGCGCTGTTGAGAGACATGAAGAAGAGCACTTCTCTCAGCCCTGACGAGATCGCCTATAACACGGTGCTGGACGGCTACGCGCGTAACGGCGCCTTCGACAAGGGCCTGGAGATCCTGCAGGAGATGGAATCTACCGGCGTCACGCCCACCAACTTTACGCTGTCGGTACTGGTGAAGCTCTGCAACCGCGCCCGGCGCCTTGAGAGCGCGTTCGAGCTGTCCCAGGCTGTTTCCCAGAGGCACGGCATCCGCCTGAACATCCACGTCTACAACAACTTGATGTTCGCCTGCGTGGGCCACGCGCAGTTGCCGCGCGCCCTGCAGGTTCTCAGCCGCGCGGTGGCAGAGAAGAACCGTCCCGACGCGCGCACCTACACGATCCTGTTGCGCGGTTGCGTCTCGGCGAAGCAGCCCGACGACGCCGCCGGGCTCCTCCGGGCAGCCTACGGTCTTCGCGGCGCGCACGAGGCTTTCGCCCCCGCTGCCCACACTGCGAAGCTGCAGGGTGGGCTCCCCTCGGAGCTCATCGCCGAGGCGCTCGAAGGCATCGCGCGCATCTCCTGGGAGAGGCGGGACCTGGCCGTGCAGCTGCTGCGCGAGCTGCAGAGCTCTGCCGCGGTCAGGCTACACTCGAGCGTCATCCAGCGCCTGACGGGGAACTAGCCGCGATCTGCGGCAGCAGCGCTTGCAGCAGCCAGCGCCCGATGTGCATTGCGGCGCGTTCAGGTGGGCGAGACGAAGCGCTCCTCACCCCGCGCCCAATGTCTGATGCCACGAGCGACAGGGCCAGGTGGACGAGATGGCCCGCTGAGCGGGAGGAACGACGATGAACATCTATGTTGCCGCCTCAAAGCTAGCTAGCGTGCCACACCAGCGCCCTACATACAGGCACTATGCTTTCACGGGCACTGTGGAGATGACATGCGTTGCGGTGCATTCTCACATGATTGAGGCATTGTGGTGCGTGCAAGCATTGTAGTGATCGCAGACACTGTGGTGCTCATAGGCCCGTGGTCATCAAATGTTGTTCTTTTCATCTTCCTTGTTCTGCCGGTGCGGGGATCTAGTTTGTCGACCCAGCCGCTCAGTAAAGTGCCACCCGTAGGGTTACACGAACACGCTTCACGCCGCTGTCTCAACACACTCAGCAAAAGGCTGATGTTTAGATGCGCCTTCCAGTGTCATCTGGCCGAAGACAGCATCCTATACTATCCAGTATGCGGGCGCCTCGATTGGCCATTCATGCTGGCCCGCTGGTTTTCGTACACGGGGCCCCACTCGTCCTCCTGGGCCACGGCCCGGCTGAGGAACGAAGACAACCACAATTCCACCGCGCTCGGGCCGTTCGAAGAGTTGTACACACTGTTCACCCCACGCGGTGGAAGGTTTGCTTCCGAACGAGAGTTCGCTCGCCCGCCGAGCTATCGCGGGCCCGCTCGACATGCACCTGGCCAACAGCACGGCACCAGCCGACCGGATCTCACGTGCAGTTGGGCCGCGGACGGTCCCATCTGAGCAGGGCCGCCACGGCGCTGAAATAAGGACCATTCGGGGCTCAAGAGAGGCCCAGGTTTTCGGGCCGCTCCTGAAGATCTAGGTCGGGGGACCTGTTCGTGGCCGAGGCTCGCCGTGGCCAGCAAGGCCGGTGCTTCCCCTACTCAGCGTTCCTCATGGCAGCACGTTGGCTGTGTGATGATGTTGAGGGTGTGCGTCCCCCGGCGGCACGGCCGAGCAGCCCGTGCTGGCAAGAGCTGGGCTGAGGCGCTGAGGAGCCCCGAGGAGCTCACGCAGCCGGGGTGTCTGCGACGCCACGCCGGCAGACAGAGTGGCCGCGCAGACGTCAAGCAGTGGCGAAGCGTCCCGGCTCGCTTATAGCCCCGCCACACCATGTTCTAAGAACCTTGTGTGGTTCCCACGAAATGTTCTTAGAGCATTTCTTGCTGGGACTGTCTTGTTTTAACACATCGGGTGTATGTTCTAAGAACACTGTTCCCTACATAGGCTCTGCCTAGAAGGGTTCTTACCCTGTTAGCTTAAAGGGGCCGGGCAGTGGAACACGCCCCGGGCGGCTCCCCCAGGATCCGCCCCGCGGTTCCCCCAGTTGCGCCCCCTGGCTTCACCCAGCTTAGCTAAGCTAAGCTTAGCTTAGCTTAGCTTACCTCATCTCAGCTTAGCTTAGCTTAGCTTTGTCTAGCCTAACTTGGCTTAGCTGAGCTTAGCTTAGCTCAGCTTAGCTTAGCTTATCTCATCTTAGCTTAGCTTAGTTTAGCTTGGCTTCGCTTAACTTAGCTTAGCTTAGCTTAGCCTAGCCTAGCTTAGCTTAGCTTATCTCAGCTTAGCCTAGCTTAGTATAGCTTACCTTAGCTTAGCGCAGCGCAGTGCAACATAGCGCAGCGCAGCATAGCATAGCATAGCCAAGCATAGCATATCATAGCATCACATAGCATAGTTCAGCATATCATATCATAGCATAGCGCAGCATGCCATAGCATAGCATAGCATTGCTTAGCATAGCACATCGCAGCATAGCATAGCACAGCACAGCATAGCATAGCACAGCGCAGCACAGCATAGCCTAGCCTAGCATAGCCTAGCCTAGCCTAGCCTAGCCCAGCATAGCATTGCGCAGCATAGCATAGCAGAGCAGAGCAGAGCAGAGCATAGCATAGCATCGCATAGCGCAGCACAGCATCCACTATTGCTGCTGCTAATGTTGCTTTCCTAGAGGCTCCAACTCCTAGGCAGGGTCGCACTGGGATAATCTTTGTAATTAGAACATTGTTGGGTTCGAAGAACATTTCGTGGTATGACTATAGGAATGCCGTGACGGTCGGTCCCTGGTCAAAGACGCGACCCGCCGCCCCACAGAGAGCCGGCACGTCGAGCCCAGATGCGCTCTCTTGCGGGATCTCGGAGGTCGAGCTTGGTATCCCTTCTGACCTCCTCGGGGGCCCAGGGCCTGCCGATCGGGAGGGCACGGTTCCCCGTCCACCTCGGTCTCAGACCCTACATGCTGACACCGCGTGCTCGGCCTCATCTGCAACAGATAGGAGCTAGCCTGAAGTCGGACATGTCCCTCTGCAGGACGTATATTCAAAAATAGTCATCTGGAGGCCTTCGTTTGTACATTTGAGCCTTTTTTGCATGTTTTGGCTATCTTTAATCTTTCGTCCAAAATCCGCCTGTAGGGGGACATGCCCGAACGACAGGCGCGACGGGTTCTACGACGAACTGCGGATCGCGGAACGGGGCGCTGAACCGAACATTTGGTGCCCAACAGCGCTGCTTGACCCGATGGCTGCAAGTACCATGGGCTGGAGCCGCACCTGGAGGTTGCTTCCGAGATCCTCCTCCTCTCTGCAGCCACTCTGGCGCGAGCGCGGCCGGCTCTGAGAGGCCTCCTTCCCCCTCCTCCTCCTCCTCCTCCTCCGCCTCCCTCCTCTCCGCAGCCGCTCTGGCGCGAGCGCGGCCGAATCGCAGAGGCCTACCCCCGCGCGCGCAGGGCGTCTCCATGCCCTCGCGCACGGCATGCCTCCTGAGGCGCGCGCGAGCGCACCGCCGGGGTGGCGGGCGCTCGCGCCCGCCGCGGCATGTCGCCGTGGCCAGCCGACGGAGCCCGCGGAGGGCCGATACCCCCGAGGTCGTGTTTTTTTGCTCACAACGCGGACCCCTGGAGGTGGATGGGTTCTCCGAAGGGCTTACGCGACCCGTCCTCCGCCGCCTCCTCCTCCTCCTCCTCCTCCTCCTCCTCCTCCTCCTCCATCTCCTCCTCCTCCTCCTCCTCCTCCTCCTCCTCCTCCTCCTCTTCCTTCTCCTCTTCCTCCTCCTCTTCCTCCACCTCCTTCTCCTCCTCCTCCTCTTCCTCGCCCTCCTCGCCCTCCTCGGGTCGGTACGGCCCCGGGGGAGACCGTGCGCCTGGAGGTCTCGTTTTGCTCACTTTGCGTTGCACGTACTTTGCTTCACACAGATGCTACACTTGGAGCTCTGCTGTGACTTTGCTTTGCTATGATTTACCTTACCGTACCTTACCTTGCCTGACCGTACCCGGATTTCAATCTACACATGCATGTGTATATATACACATAGATATACATGTGTATATATATACACATATGTACATATATATATATATATATGTATTCATGTATATCTCTATATATATACATAAATCGTTTGCACCGCACAGGTTGCAACTCATATATTGCATTCCATGGGATGCATCGCATACGTTGCACCACACAGCTTGCACCGCACAGACTGCAAGAACCCACTGTTTGGGGCCCACGCTGGCTAGAATGTGGGTCACAACGCGGACCCCTGGAGGTCTCGCCCCCTACTCGGCCACGCGCAGAGGCGGTACGGTCAGCCCACAGGGTAAGGATGGCCAACCATCCTACGGGTACCCTTGCATCCTTGCCTCCTCGGTTCATGCTTGGCCACTTTCGTCGGCCGCGCCCCGCTCGCAAAGAGTCGACATGGCCTTCCACGGCCCTTGCATCCTTATCGCGCATCCTTATGATACGGGCCGAATGTAGGGGGAGGGGGAAGGCTTGTCAGAAGCACCCCAGCTTTTAGGAAGGCGCTGGCCCTTGTCTACAGATGTAACGCCGGCGCCTTCGGAGAAGCAGCCTCCTTCTAAGAAGCCCTTCCCCCCTCCCCCTATCCCCTTGCGCGCGCCGCCGACCTTTCCCAGGACCGATTTCTCATCCCGAGCCGTTCTTTTGGCCGCCACAGGGCCAGGCGAGGGCCTCCAGAGGCCGAACACGGCAACAGACGATTTGTCCTGATTGTGGTCACGGCGTGAGGGGGTCCGGGAGCGGAGGATGCGAGCCATCCACCGATCTGGTGCTTCAGCTCGCGGCCCCAGAGGCCACGACCCCGTCCCCAGGGTCGGCCTCGCGCTCCGGACCCAGCTCTGCTGGGCCCGACGACGGGCCCCGCGGGCCGAAGCCGAGGCCAAACACCCAGCTTGGGTGAAGCATAGCTTCGGGGATCCGGGGGAGCACGCGCGCGCCCTGGGCTGGGCGGCTGGCGCAGCGGCTGCCGCTGCCGCCGCAGAGGCCGCGGTGCACCCGTGGGAGTCCGTCGGAGTTCGGGGCTTTCGGTCCTAGGAGCCTCCTGGCCTCGGGATGCGTGTCAACAGCTCCGCCTCGCCGAGGCTTTCCAAGCGTGTCCGGATCGTCCCGTGCGGCCGCCAGAGACCCGAGTTGTGGCCCGGAAGCCCATCATTCGGAGGAGGGCCGGTGTGGTGAGTCAGAGGGGGTGCGGGATGGCCGCACAGTTATGTGGCGTGGTTGGTTCTCTGGGGATGTGTCGGGCAGCTGGGACCTGCGAGGTTTCAAAACCGTACGGTGACAGACCGTGCGGTGAGGCCGCTGGGGATCCTGAGGTCACCGCACGGTCTGTCACCGCACTGTCTTTTTTTGACCCCCAGAGGACGCGGCGAGGCTCCTCGACAAGTTCGGGGCGCCGACTCGGCTGCGGCACCCGCACCTGGGCCGGTGCACGGACGCGCTGTTCGGCCGCGCCCAGGTCGTCTTCGTCGTGTCGGAGCGCGCCTCAGTCAGCATGACGGACGTGCTGCGCGCCAGCCAGCAGGGGGCTGCTGGCTCCGTGGCCAGCTGCGTGCAACTGGCAGGCATCCCGTTGCTACTGTTAAGTCGGGCCTGTCCCTCTACAGGAGGAATATTTCAAAAATAGTCTAAAAAATTGTGCGGGGACTATTTTTGGAGTATTTTTTACAATTTGGGAATATTGTTTAAGTTTTTTTTCGTCGAAAATCCCCCTGTAGGGGGACGCGCCCGACTTAATGCTACTGAGGGCATCCCTGGCCTTTTTTCCAGGCTGTGCCAGCCTCCGTCGCGCTCCCGCTATACCCCCGCCACTATGCGGGCGAGGCGCTCCTGAGTCGACCAGACGCGGCAGAGATCGTACCTGTGGACCTCGCCTGGAAGGTCGGCGACGCCCAGCGCAAGGCGACGGAAGGCGCCCGCGTGGACGGAGATCTCGCCGCCACTCGCGGTCCCCTGGTGTCCGACGCTGCGACAAGCAAAACAGACCACGACCGGAGCCGCAGGCCCCGGTCTTTCTGCGGCATCTGTCGAGCTGAATCGATCTGTGATGGCCCCCGGGACCGGGACCGGGTGAAAGCGCTTGGTGTGAAAAGTGGCAAGTCCCAGAGCTCACGGTCAGCTCGAGCAGCGCGCGACCCGGCAGTGGCGGCAGTGCGAGGTGTGGCGCAGGCGCGCCGCGTCCATGCTTCGGCGACGAGCGAGGGGGGGAAGTGAGAGGGGGAAGGCCTTCTCAGAAGGCTCGGAAGCCCCCCGGCCTTTTGAGAAGTTTCTTAAGCTTTCCCAGCAGACAAGCAACGACTTCTCAGAAGGCGCGAGGGATTTTGAGAATTCCCGCCGCCTTCTGAGAAGGCCTTTTCCTTTTCATTGCTCGAGGATCGAAAATCACATAAACATAGAAACTCGGAGGTCCGCGCGGATTTCTTGGATCTGCGCTGGACCCCCGAGGAGAACGATACCGGTGCCCTTCCCTCGTTTCGCCTCGTTGGGCCTCCTGGGAGGCCTTCGTCTCGCTAGCTGGATTCTCCACCACATCCCGGCCAGAACGCACCCCGGGAGAGGCCTGGGTAGTAGCTTGTACCTTCCCAGATACGCGGTCTTGATTTGTTCAATACCGGGACCCCAGAAGTCCCGACCCTTTTTCCCAAGGCAGGTCTTTCGTCGCCAGTCGTTGTGTAACCCCGTCGTGACTCCGTCGCGACGCAAGCAGTTCTGGGCCTTGGCTTCCTCCAGGACGGCGACCTTGCCCCCATCTTTCGAGCAGGGAATCGACTACATAATTTATTCACCCCAGAATTGATTTTCCCCGCCGAAGTCGGGCGTGTCCCTCTACAGGAAAACTACGCTTAAGTCGGGCGTGTCCCTCTACAGGGAAAATTGTCAAACATAGTAAAAAGTCTGGGCACGATTTTTAAATACCCTTGTTTAGTATGTTTGGTTGGTGCATTTTCAAAAATATATAATAATCCAACATCCCCCTGTAGGGGGACAGGCCCGACCTAAAACTACGCAGAATGCTCCCTAGATCTACGGAGCGTTCGACGCAGTTGTTGAGGAGCCGACGCGAAAAACCCAGGGTATATATGAAATCTGTAGTCGATCCCCTGCTCAAGTCCTGCCGGCGGACGTGCTCGCCGCACGCAGCCGGCCACCCTTAGGAGGGGTCGGGCTTCTTAGAAGCACCCCTGCTTCTTATAGAGGGCACGGGCCCTGTCTGCCGGTGCGCGGCCCGCGCCTCCAGAGAAGCAGCCTCCTTCGAAGGAGCCTTCCACCCTCCCCCTGCCCTCCTGTGCGCGCCGACAAAAAAGCCGATGCCCCGCCCCCCCCACCCTCTTCTCCGAGGGGTATAGCGATGGAGGGGACAGTACACGCAGGGGGGGACGCATCGACCCCCAACCGCCCAGTAGTCGCCGATGGGGGGCCGAGAGCCCGGCAGGGGCCCGACAGCCCCCTACTCCAAATCCTTTGTGAATCGCCCCCCGTGTGCATTTTTTAGGGCGCTTTTTTTGTAACTGGGGGGGCCCGGTTGATCAGGGCGCTTTCTTGGGATCGGAGCTCAGGGGGTCTGGTTTATTGAGGCGCCCCGTCGAAGGGTCTGGAGTAGTAGGTCGCATTTGGAGGAAGGTCCGGTTTTTTCGGGGGGGTCGACTACTAAGGGATTTGGAGTATAGCCCCCATTGAGGCGCGAGCACGATTCCTGCACAGACTGCGAGGGGGTCTCCGGCGAACCGGCTGTTGGCCTGCCGCTGGACGGGGCAGTCTCGCGGGCCCCCCCGCCCCCCTCTTGTGGGGCTCCAGTGGGCGGGCGCGGCTGCGGCCCCGCTGCGGGCCGACGCGCCGCGGTACGTACCGCACGACCGGCCCGGCGTGAGGCGGGGAGCAGAACAAGTCGGAGGTTGATCGACCTCCTACCCTGACACGTCGATTCGCGAATTGGCCGTGTTCGGTTCGCGAGAGGGCGGCGCGGCCGTCACTTTTGCGGGTCCAGGTCCGTCGGTTTCGGTCCCAGGCCGTTTTCACTAAGGGAGGTTTGCTAAAGGGAGGCTTGTCCACCGCCGAAAAAGGCACAACGCTTTCCCAGCGTGGACCCCAAGCGGTGAGCTAATTCGGTACTGCACCGTGGATGCGCAAGTTGTGTGGCGCAACATGGCGCGCTCCGGGGAAGGCCCTCGCCTTCGAGAGTCGAGGGAGTTGCCATCTCTTCCTCGGCGGAACGTGGCGCAAGGTTGGCGGAAGGCGGCGGAAGTCAAGCGAGGCGATTTCCGCCGGCGGAAGCCAGCGAAAGTAAAAAGTGCGCCCCCAAGAGGGGGCGACATTTTGGGGTTCAGGGTTCCCAGAACCCGCCATGTCGGTGGTACACCCTGTGTGGTGTGAGCTATGCGGTGTAAGCTAGTTGTGAAGGCTATGTGGTGCAAGCCATGTGGTGCGAGCAGATGGTGCAAGCAGCCAATTATGCAGCGTAAGCGATGTGATGTAAACTATGTGGCTCTGGTGCAAGCTATGTGGCGTAAGCTATGTGGTTTTTTTAAGCTATGTGGTGTAAGCTCTGAGGTGTATGTGGTGGATTGCCCCTTGGCGCGCGCGACCAAGCAGCGGATGTAAGAAGTAAGTCGACTGCACCTTTGATCCAGTCTTGCGGCTCGAGCTTGCGTTGTCCAAGCTCTTCTGCGAACAGTACTATCTGACTGACTCACGTGCTTTCAACGATTCCATTCCGTCTGCTTTCCAAGTCTACATCGTGAAGAAAGAATCATGGCGGCCACAGTCTTCGAGGCAGTTGCCCAGACCCTCGTGGGCGCTCAGATCGAGATCGCAGTTTTCATTGCCGCTGTCTTGGCCCACGTGTTCCTCTTCAAGAAGCAGCCCACGCAGCCCCAGGCGCGCAAGGGCAAGCATCTCAAGCAGGCCGAGGCCGCGCCCAGGACAGGCAAGGATGCTGATGCGGCCAGCCGCGCTGCGCCGAAGGTGAAGCCCATGCTGCAGGCAGCGCTCGCCGCGCCGGACTTGAAGGACGCTGTGCGCCACCTTGCGGCTATCCCGGAAGTTCGCCGAGGCGCGGGCGATCTGGTAACCTTCGCGATCACCGGCGCGCTCCAGCAGCTCTCGGTGCGGGCGATCTCGCAGTGTTCGGTCCCGTTGCTGCTCGAGGAGCTCCACGCCCACAGGGCGTTCAACTCGTGGTCCCTCGAGGTGGTTCTCGTGGAATGCACGCGCCAGGGCCACAAAGCCGGACTCGAAGCCGCCGTGCAGTTGAGCCGCAGCACCAGCACGCAGATCACGGCCACGGGGTACGCGGCGCTCGTGCGGGGAGCCGCCGCCAGCGGAGAAGTGCTGAGTTGGTTCCAGGAGGCCGGCGCGAAGGGCCTGGAAATCGACACCGCCACCCGCGTGGTGATTCTGAAGCGGCTGGGCAGCGATGGCCGGTTGGAGGAAATGCTCGGCGTCCTTGAGTCTTGCGCCATGAAGCCGGGTTGCCTGTACAACGCGGTGATCGACGCATTCGTGGGGGTCAAGGACATGAAGACCGCACAGCGTCTGGCGGCGGAGGCCCTTCAGGCTGGGGTCGCCGACGTCATTACCTCCAACACGATCATCAAGGCGCACCTCCACAACGGCAGCGTGTCGAAGGCCCGCACCGCCCTGGCCGAGATGCGGGCCATGGGCTTGGAGCCCAACGTTGTGACCTACAACGAGTTTCTGGACGCCGCCGTGGGGAGCACGGGAGGGCTCCCATGGGCCATCATCGACGAGATGCTCGAGTGCGGGCTGAAGCCCAACGCGGTCACCTGCTCCATCCTGCTCAAGACTGTGACGAAGAGCTGCAGTGCTGCCGATATCCAGCGCATTGCCAGCCTGCTGGAGTCCCTGGAGCAGAGCGAGATGGACGAAGTGCTGCTCAGCTCGGCCTGCGAGGCGGGCATCCGCTCCAACCAGGTGGAGTTCTTGAGGCGCCAGCTGCAGTCGCGCCGCTCCTCCCAGCGTGTGACCGTCAAGGGGGCGCCCGCCTTCGGCAGCATCATCCGCGCGTACGGGTTCATCGGGGACATTGAGGGCGTCTGGGAAACCTGGCGCGAGATGCGCGCCCGTCGCGTCCTGCCCACGAGCATCACCCTGGGCTGCATGGTCGAGGCAGTGGTGAGCAACGCGGGCCCCGAGGTTGGCTACAAGATGATCCAGGAGGCTGCCAGCGACGATGAGACCCGGCCGCTGCTGAACGCCATCATCTACTGCTCGGTGATGAAGGGGTTCTCGCATCAGAAGAAATTTGATCGCATGTGGGAGGTCTACCAGGAGGTGCTGGGCGGAGAGCACAAGTGCTCGATCGTGACGTACAACACCCTTGTGGACGCTTGCGCCCGCTGCAGCGAGATGGCCAGGGTACCCGAGCTGCTTCAGCACATGGACCGCCAGGGTATCAAGCCGAACGTTGCCACCTACGGTGCCATCATCAAGGGCTACGTACAGGAGAACAAGCTGGATCAGGCGATGGCGCTGTTGAGAGACATGAAGAAGAGCACTTCTCTCAGCCCTGACGAGATCGCCTACAACACGGTGCTGGACGGCTACGCGCGTAACGGCGCCTTCGACAAGGGCCTGGAGATCCTGCAGGAGATGGAATCTACCGGCGTCACGCCCACCAATTTCACGCTGTCTGTACTGGTGAAGCTCTGCAACCGCGCCCGGCGCCTTGAGAGCGCGTTCGAGCTGTCTCAGGCCGTTTCCCAGAGGCACGGCATCCGCCTGAACATCCACGTCTACAACAACTTGATGTTCGCCTGCGTGGGCCACGCGCAGTTGCCGCGCGCCCTGCAGGTTCTCAGCCGCGCGGTGGCAGAGAAGAACCGTCCCGACGCGCGCACCTACACGATCCTGTTGCGCGGTTGCGTCTCGGCGAAGCAGCCCGACGACGCCGCCGGGCTCCTCCGGGCAGCCTACGGTCTTCGCGGCGCGCACGAGGCCTTCGCCCCCGCTGCCCACACTGCGAAGCTGCAGGGTGGGCTCCCCTCGGAGCTCATCGCCGAGGCGCTCGAAGGCATCGCGCGCATCTCCTGGGAGAGGCGGGACCTGGCCGTGCAGCTGCTGCGCGAGCTGCAGAGCTCTGCCGCGGTCAGGCTCCACTCGAGCGTCATCCAGCGCCTGACGGGGAACTAGCCGCGATCTGCTGCAGTTGGCGGCGGATGCATGCTGCGACGCGGCCCAGTGGGCGAGACAAAGCGTCGTTTGGCTCTCGTCCCCACGTGTGCAAGGGCCAAGTGGACAAGGTGGCACCGTTCGCGGAAAGATGAAGCATCCGAAATGTGTTGCCGGTTCGAGGTTGGCATGTCACACCAGCGCCCTACCTTCAGCGCCTTTTTCTTCATTGATGTTGCGGTACTCTCAGGCGCCGTGGCTTTCAGTGTCTGGGAAGCACACCTGGTAAGAGTGGTACTCCCAGGCGCTGTGGTGCTCACTCACAGGCACTGCGGAAACCAAAGCTACTGAGGTGCTCACAGGAATGGTGCCATCCCCCCTCCCAAACATCCCTCTCCTTGTCCCTGTTCCGCTCCGCCCTCTCAGAGCCGAGTGTCAAGGATCATGGTTTCACTTTGGGTGCCTGGGTCTCTGGGTGTGAGGCAGGCAGGCCATTGCCGCAGTGGGCGCATGAGTACCCAGAGCCGCATGAGCAGGACCGCTCAGCGATGTGTACCCCAAGGTCCTGTATCACATGGGCCGCCTGGCAACATGCATGGATGCCGCCAAGAACATGCACGGCCCAAGTGCAAGGCGGTTGAGGACACCAGCAAAAGTCGCGCAAGCCTCACAAGCCAGCGACACTATCCAGCTGCCTACTGCAAACGCCGCCACCGTGCCAGCGCATCACCGAATTTTGCATACCGGGTGGCTCTACCGAGAACTCTCGAAAAGGGTTTGTAGATTCATCCACGGGTCGTTTGGCAAGAAGCGGTCCGATGTTGTAGTGTGTCGTAGCAGTAACCTTGCGTGGTTGTGGCGTTGTCTCTTGGGAGATCGTTGGAGGTTTGTCTGCGGCCTTCTGGGGGCATCTGTGGAGCTCTCTAGCAGCCTCTTGGGGGCTTCCAGGGGGTCTTCTGCAGGCTTGTTGGGGGCGTTTTGGGGGTCTGTCTGGGGTGCGATGGTTCCGCCGGGCTATCCCGACCAGCCTCGGCGAAGCCATCTTGCGGCGAGCTGGATAAGCAGGGGGTAGCGTCTTGAGGTCGAGGGTATTTCTGGTAGTCCCCCTTCACCGCATCCACACCGCCCTCCCATAAGTAGTCCTCCTGCTCCTTCTTCTCGTCTTCATCCTTCTCTGCAGTCTCACCCTTCTCTTCAACCTCCTCCTACTCCTCCTCCTCCTTCTCCTCGCCTCCTCCTCCTCCATCTTCCGTCCGCGTCCCCCTCCTCCCCAAACAAATCAGTGAGAATTGTCAAAGCGTGATTATGTTCCTTCGAGATTGGCGAGCGGTTGCGTGCTTACCACTTGCCTTAAGATCTGCTCAGGTAGAGCCCCAAAGGCTACAGATGCGCAGCAGAAGCACCCCACCACCATTCCCTTCCACGACACTGTCAATGTACATGCATACTTTCGGAAACGATCATTGGTATCAGTGAAGGCGAGCTGTTGCGCCAGCTCAGGCTCAAGAACCTGCTTTGACCTGGCCGTACCAATTCTATGGCATGCCATGTTTTAAACGGCTTTCCCAAGCTAGCTCTAGTGCATGTGTGGGTTTATCCTACAAGCATGCGTTTTTGTTGACAGATTGTGCAGCAACGTGTAACAGTCTCTCAACCCTGCACGGACCACGGACTCTGTAGGCAAATACTCTTGGCCATGACTTGTGTATTTGCACTGGGTGGGCGCTGCTAGGGGAGAGCGTGGGAAGGAGAGAAGAAGGCCTTAAGGTATGCGAGACCTCGCTCCCAGCACGCTTGTGCACAACCACCTCTAGATACTGCAGATCCCACATTTCCCAAGGTATTGTGAGAGGATCGAACGGTGAGAATTCCCGCGCTCGCTTGAAAAATTGGTACGTTCAGCCCGCTCCGCAAGATGACAATGTCATCACGGAATCGGAAAGTAACCCTCAATTCCATGGTTGTTGAGGATTTCGCGCTGGAGCAATCTGATGTCCATTAGAGCTAAAAGCGTTAAGCCGGCTGAATCTCCGGAGTGTGGCAGCCCCATTCCCGTTCCAGTGCCGACTTTGTAATTCAGCAATGTATTGTGTTCCGAGAAGGAACTCCACAATTTTAGCCACTATCCGTTCCATTGGGCCCCAATCATCCCAAAGAGACAGCACTTTCGAACATATCTTGTGTTTTGATCCGCACATATGAAAATATTTGACGCCCACGTTGGCCGTGTGCCATGTGTCCGTTGGTTTGATTCTGGACAAAAACGGCACCAAAGCACCACAATCCTTGGGAAAATGAGGTGTTTCCCATTTTAGTTTTGCTTGCAGCACCGACATCAGCCAGTGGCTAAGGCTGCTGAAGAT